CGATATATTTTAAGATCCGTGCAAGAACTCCGCTAACAGATGTTTCCGCATATAAAAGCTATCTTCAAGTTTTGTACACCAAAAAACCTTTTCAAGTATTGTTGTTCTAAGCTATATATAAAGAAATTTAGAACATCAAAGTTTAGCACAATAAACATTAGGACTAAGTTTAACAGAGTGTACTCACAATCCTAACAAGGATATATACAATCTTTTACACTTAAAATTCGCTTTACCATACTTAAGTCAGCAACCTTACCGCATTGGGAACTTTTTATCGTTGTCCATGTAAACATTTACCGCTATTTTCCCCCCTGCCAGAACATAAAAATCAATAAGGTTTTTTGTTGAAGTAGTGAACGTATAAGAAATAGGTTTACTGCGAGACTATATTTAAAGCAGTGAGCTAGTGACAACTACGGTTTACTACAGTATTAGCGCTAATAACAACTACGGTTTATTTCCGTACTGAGTTTAGACCAGTGAGCCAATAACTATGGTTTGCGGCAAGACTTAATTTAAAGTAGTGAACTAATAACAACTATAACCTATTACAGTATTAAAGCTAATAATAGTTACGGTTTATTAAAATACTAAGTTTAAAGTAGTGAGCTAATAACTACGGTTTATTATAAGACTAGAGCTAATAGCAACGAGGTCTCACTACTAGACTAAGTTTAAAGTAGTGAGTCAATAACTATGGTTTACTAAAGATTAGAACTTATAATTACTGTTTACTACAAGACTAAGTTAGATTAGGGAGCTTATAACAACTACGGCTTATTAAAAGACTGTATCGAGCTAATAACTATTGTTTGTTACTACGAAACAAAGCTAAAGTAATTAGCAAATAATAATCACGATGTACTGTAAGGAAAGCTAAGGATTTTATTAACAAGAACAATTAAGAAATAAAAAAATGGTTTATGTGGAACATCTGGCTTATAATACTAAAACTAAAAAAAAACTAAAGCATGTTTTGGTTTTTCCAGAGGTGAACAACCACGTACTGGATTAGCCAAATTAGCGCGATTTTTAACACCGAAAGAAAGACAGTCAGCTGTGAAGACAAGCCATATTACCAATGACCCGTCACCTCCAGAAGTGTAAGAATTGTGGCATTGTGATTTATTATATTTAAAACAAAAATGATAATTAGATGGATTAAGATCGGTTCCTCTGTAAAACTGTTTACTTTACAATACTTCTTATAATATAGTACAGTTTTCATTATAAATTGATATTAGGCAAGGGTACCAGATAAAGAAGCAAAAATTGTATAAAGGACAAGTTAGGTAATGTTCCGCTTCCTTCGTTCTTTTGTTATTACATCCCTACATACTAACTGTATACCCTGCTTTGTGGGAAGTAATAACTGACTCATTTAACTGATTAAATACTTGTATTTTTAAATTCAACCCAGAAAGTCTATAAAAATGGAAATTTGTTCTATTTGAGGGTTTTTGTCTCATTTCTCGGGCAAAAATCCTTAAGCAAAATAATCTATGTAAACTTTGGACAGTTTTTAGTTACCATAGGAAAAATTACTGTAATTAAGCCAGTTAACTTTGGGTGATGGATGTTAACACATGGATATAATGGATAATATTTACAGTAATATGGAATTATCACATTTCGTAGTTGATTATTTGTTTTGTTATTATTAAAAGGACTGGATCGAGGCCTATTCAAAAGAACCTTTGCCATTGCTAGAAGTCAAGTATAAATAATAGTCTAAATCCTACAGAAACCACAAAGGGAGAACTTTTAAATGCCAAATGCACGATACAAAGAACCAGAAAGGCAATATGCCAATAAATATTGGTAAGACCTGTGTAATAAGATACAGTTGGCTTCAGCCTTTGGGAATTTACATGATATGTATGATAGTATAAAGATTGCTCTTCGTCCAATGAGCAAAGTGGCCCTTCTAAAGGCAAAAGACGGATCAGCGATAACCGATAGAAATAAGCAGATGGCAAGCTGGGTTTCACATTATCTTGATATATATTCTCAGGAAACTGATATATCTGATACAGTTTTTGATCAGATACAGAACTTACCCATCATGAAGGAACTTGATAAAGAACCAACAGCTAAGAAGCTTAGTAAAGCTATTGATTGCCTTTATTGTAGAAAAGTACCCGGTAAAGATGGAATCCTGTTAGAGATTTTAAAATCTGAGAAGTCTAGCTTCTTGCCAAAACTCCATCATCTGTTACTTCACTGCTGGAAAGAAAGACGCGTTCCGCAGGATATGTGTGATACAAACGTCATAACCCTGTACAAAAACAAAATAGACAAGGAGGATTGTAACAACTACTATGGTATCTTCCTACTCAGTGTTGGTGGAAAGGTTTTTGCAAGAGTTATTTTGAAATATTACAACTACTAGCAACAGGCGTGTACCCTGAATCACAGTGTTCGTTCAAAACTGAACTACACACCTCAGTCTCTCTTCGATAACTTCAAGAGAAGTGCAGAGGGAAAAGAAAACCACTATACATCGTCTTTGTAGACTTAAAGAAGGAATTTGATATTGTCAGTAGATCAGGGTTGATCAAAGTACTTCAGAAAATTGTATGTCTTCCACTACCGTGTAAGCTCATATCATCCTTTCATGAGGACATGCATGCAAAATTCAGCTTGATATATTTACTTCAAATAAATGTATTGTGAAAATTGGCGTTAAACAGACGTGTGTGTTAACATAGACATTGTTTGTCTTCTACTTCTTTGTGCTGTTGAGCTTTGGTTTTGATGATCTTGATGACGGCATATATCTAAATACAAGTGCAGATGGAATGCTCTTCAACTTGCCTCGTCTTAAAGCTAAAACCAAAGTGAGAACCATAACTATCGCGAATCCCATTTTTGCTGATGATGCTACACTTCTTGCTCATGAAGAGATCAGCTACAGAAGCTTATTAATGATATCACTCATGCCTGAAATATGTTTCCTTTTACTATCAACATAAAAAAGACCGTGCTATTATGCCAAGATGTTCCTCGAGAGCCAAACATTACTTTAGATAATTCCACCCTCCAGGTATTAAACAATTTCAGCTATCTTGGATCTACAATAAGTGAAAAGCTATCCGTGGACGATGAGTTAAACGTTCGCACTTGGGTAGCTGCTATATCAATCGCCTGACTCTCAAAGCGAGCCTGGAGTAGTTCTAAACTGACAACAAAATCTAGAAAAACTAATTACCAGGCATGAGTACTTATTACTCTATTGTAAGGTAGTGAGACATGGACAACATACACTGCTCAAGAAAGTAAAATGAATGTTTTACAATTACTATGTTTGTATAAAGTTCTTGATATAACATGGAAAGAAAAAATTACAAATGAAGAAGAGTGGAGTGAAACAAACTTGCCAGGCATAACTGCACTTCTCAGACAAATATGTCTTCATTGGCTAAGCCATCTTCGAAGAATTCCTGATGGTCGCATTCCAAAAGGTATGTCATATGGCTTACTGTCAAGTGGAAGTAGACCAGTAGACAGGCCAAAGCTTTTTTTCAAGGACAGTTGCAAACAGGACATGAAATCCTTCACGATCGATACTTTGAATTGGGAAAGCCGGGCGGATGACAAAGATAGATGGTGCATTTTCTTTCGTGTGGCATGAAACACCACGACGCCAGCTGGTTTTTGGCATCTGCAACAAAGACGACTGAAAATAACACAGCCAAACAGTATCACAACCATCGAATACAGACTTGAGGCGTGCTGTCGTCCATATCAGTCCATGATAAGTCTTTATAGTAAAAAAGAACGTATACTGTAGATTAGAACTCCACCATTTCAACGAGATAAAGGATGTCATAATGATTAAACGAAGGGACTGTTGCGATTGAGAGATTATTCACATCAATAATCGATTTTTCATAATTATAGAGTAATTGTTAATTGTAATAGTTTGCGTTTTACTTATCAAATGGTTAAGTACAATACTCGCTTGCATGATTACAGATGGTTGAGTAAGTTATATTAAATCGAATTTGTAATGGAAGAATCACAGCCAATATAAAGTGGCATTGGAATGACATGCATTAGAACTACATTTCATTTTATCTGTAAATTGTAGATAGTTTGATGTCATTGGTAAGTTTATGTGACAGCTCTTTCCAATGTGAAATATGTATTCACTCAGATTGTAAAGATGTGTTTGGTTTGGAGATTGAAAATTTCCAGAATGGGAAAGATTTTTGCAATTAACGGCATTTGAAAACAAAGGAATACAGATCAATTGGGAACAAGGAACATTCAGAAAGAGACCTGCAGGAAGTTGTACATCAAACATGGTAAGTAAAGTTCAGCATCTTGCAACAGGTGAGAATCGATGAACACAAATATCAGTGATAAAAGCCAATCCACGCAAGAAGACGAAGTAGGATCTCCCTCTTGAAAAGCGACACGATTCACGTGTATACAACTTGCTCCCACGACATATCCATTCAACCGTCCCATACCGTAAGCAGCTAGAAAAATAAATGGCTATTCATGCTATTCTATACGAAGATATAATAGTCAACTATGCAGCACCTATGGATTTTTGTGTGCAAAGAGACTGTTGAAACAGACACTGTGAAACTGTCGTCATACACTAGATGGTTTACGGAAAGCCTGCAGAGAGCATTGGTGTGCTTTGGAATTCACAACCTTACGACGTAGCTGTTTGCGGTAGAAACTACTCTGGCGGGCTATTGAGAAGATGCACTGTTAACAGAGAGAGAATGGCCATATATAGCAGCATGGACTGTAACGACGTGGTGATGCTCCAAAATCGTTTTAATATAAAATGTCTTCAATGATTGAGTTATTTTTTTTTTGTCTGTAGGACCGATGAATACGTGATATTATTTAATAGATTGTTTAGGTAGAATATTCATGATAGAAACACAACTATAGAGGATGACGTTTGGAAAGTCTTTCGCCTTTCGTCTTCAGGTCGTCCTCTACACTTGTGTTTCTACAACAAGCAGTTGTCGTCCATTCAACCAAATTTCATGAATACATGATATGATGTTTGATTCCAGGACATGTTTCTCTTGGAATAGAGGAGCAAGTACTTTGCAGAAAGCCAACAGCATTGATAGTATACTTGGAGTATGTTGTGACATCCAAATCAGGGATGTTTCTGACACTTCAGTAACTGCTCCTATGATTTCCACATCAGCTCCCACCTGCACAAACTCAACCAGTAGCACTCTTGCCGTCCCGAACAATAAAGTCACACCCTTGTCCACCAGCATTCCATCGAAACTGGAAACCCACAAGAAAGGAAATATACCCCCATCTCCCAGCATTCCAAACAGACTTGCAAAAGGAATTACAGGTAAGAAGTTTGCAATAAATTGAAAACGTATATTTTTCAAACTGATTACTAAAAGCTGTATCTTGCATTGTAATTTACGCGTTATATTGGAAACTTGCAAACTTGTTCATGTAAGGTACTTTTAGACGGATATAGAACTTTACTACTAATATAATACTCAATTATCATACTAGAAGCAGAATACTAACAATATATCACACTGATAATTTCCAGTATATGACAATTGTTCGCAAATAAATCAAAACGCCTGCAGTCTTATCATAAAGGAATAACATATGCTCTTTTATACTAATAATTATTTTTAATGCATGTAATGATTGTCTGAAATTTTATGTGGTAATTGTTTTAGAAACATCAGTTGAGCACACATGCCGCATTTTATTTTGTAATATCAACTATAGACGTGATTATATATTGGGAATTGGAATTTTCAACCTAAACGCCCAGGTCACAGTCCACCGAGGTTCCAGATATAGCCGTCCCTCATTGTTAACTAATAACTAGATGGACAATAACTAGCTCAAGGACTTTATCTGGCACTTTGAACTGGCTAGCGCTATTAAGGGTTATTTAAAAACGTGCTCACAGCTGAAAGTACAGACCCAAATATTCGATTCATAGCCGAACACACTAACCAGCACATCACGCTCTACCCCTTATATTGGGAAGAGTATCCGTGGTTAAATCTATAGATCCATCTTAAAATCATAATCTTTATATCATACTTAAAACTTCAACAATTTCTTCGGATGTTAAAGTGGATTTTTAGTGCAGCTTATCATCTTCAGTACCATTCTATCTACTGCAACTGTCTTTGTTATAATTCAAAATTTAAGATATACCGTGTGCCTACAATAAAGATAAACATTCTACAACATCTTTAGTTTTAGACATTATCATTATTTGAAAAGACTTTTCTTTAAGCTACAAGCGTATTATGGACAAATACAATTCATGATGTTAGAAAAACACGTAGGTTCAAGAAGTTTTGACAGAAATGAATAAAGACCCAATAACCCGAGCGCTTTCGAAAGGTGGACCTTTCTTCTTCAGGGGCAAACTAGGAATGATGTTGTAATCGAATGAGTGATATATATAAAAGGAGTTTAGTGATGTCATGAAAGTCATCCGGTTTTTCCAGGATATGTTTAGTCTATTTCTCTATGTACTGTTGTAAGCATCTCATTTCAGGTACAATGTAGCCGATGGCGAAAGGGTATGTGAAAAGGTGTTACTGATATTTTACTTTAGAAATAGCTCAATATATATATATATATATATATATTTGAAACTATACTTAAGTGTTTAAGTTAGATCAAGGTGACACCTGAAAACTTATTGAAAAAGATATGTTATGTTAACCAATTTATAAAAACAGGTATGGAAAATTATCTTAAATAAATAGTAAGTTTCAGGGAAGTTAGGGTTCACACTACATGAAAGAAATAAGTAAAGAATAAAAAATATTTTTCTGAGAGAGATGAAAGCAATGAAAAGAGATCACTTATTCCAGGATCTATATTAATTACCAAAGGTTGAACAGTGTTTAGATTAGAATCCAGTAAGCTTCTTTTATTTCTCTATCTGCTTTAATTTTGAATCCTTTTTCAATGCCGATGAGAGTAACATCGTTAATGGAATGACCGGATTAGTTAAAGTGTTGAGCAACAGGGAAATCTTTTTCGGTGTTAATAGAAGATTTATGGTTGTTGAAACGTTCTCTAAGAGTTGTTTGTGTATGTCCTACATATTGGTAATTACATTTTTTGTACACTGTATAAAATAAATGGAGTTTTTTTTTTGTTTCACAAGTGATTTCTTTGGATATTTTAAAGTTCCTTTGATTGTACTTGTCAGAAAATGAGTCAGTGATTTTTATGAACTTGCAGGTTTGACAACGGTCTTTATTAAATGAACGACAACTATTTTTGGGTGGGATGTAATTCAGTTTTGTGTGAAGAAGGATATCTTTTAGAGTTATTTATTTATTTGTTGAACCATTTTAACAGCACTCTTGTGTACATCGATCAAAATAATGAAATTAATAATAAAGCCATTTTCAGTGATAAATAGAATGTTATTGAAAGTTATATGCTTGAAATACAGGAGTAAACTTTTAGAAGGAGCAATTCCTTAAACGCTATTCACTGTAACTAGGATAGATTTTTCATCCAGAAAAATACATCAGCAGATAGGGAGAGCACTAATATATAATGTTGTTGTATAGACATATGGTGTAGTGCGTAATTCTGTATTAAACTACTGATTTCCTTGGCAATATATATATATATATATCTACGTAAAAAAATAATTCAAAATTGATTTCACATAGATTTTGTTTAATCTATTTTTCTACTATCATCACGATTCATTAGCTACCCGCTATTAATCCTGTTATCCTACTTTCATTTACTATGGATATTTTAAACAAAATGGATGCTTTGTGAAACTAAACGACTACTAAATCAAGGAGAATTAGAAAGATTAACTTATGTCCAACGTTTCGGCAAAAGCCCTTATCAAGGACATCGTATCACATATACCGTCAACAACGATTTAATCCTAAATGCTCACCTAATCAACAACTATCAAGTTCTAAAAATTCACCTAGTCAACAACAGTTTCGCTTAATATCTCCACCTAGTCAAAAAGTATCTAGTCTTAACACTTCACCTAGTCAACAACGGTCTAGTCATAATGCTTAAATTAAGCTTTAGAACAAAACCATTTGTTGAAAGTATTTATGGTACGGTATTTTTGATAAATACGAAAACCAAAATGTGAACACAAACTTCATATCTAAACTAAGATCAACTATTTTATATTCATGGACAAATGTTGCCTGTATGATTGAAAAATTTAACAAACAACGTTTTTTGTGGTCTGCTACGTTTAATTTTGTTGTTATCCTGATAAATACACGTAAGCTCTTAAACTGACGTTAAAGTTACAAAAAGTTAAACCTAAACTATTTAGAAGTTTAACAATCATATATAAATATTATTTCCGACTTACAACCTTCATACTTATACAAATTCTTATACAATCTAATTTCCTATTATTTTAAAGTTTGCAAGATCATTTTACGTTCTGTTAGAATCAGACAATAAGACGACAGACGAGTTTATTTATAAAATACATATCATCCACGATACTGAAGCGAAGGAATATTTTTGTAAACAGATTGTACATTACATCGTATGTTAATTCACGTTGTGTACAAATTTGTTTGTTTGCTCGCGAAAACTCCTCCCACAGCATTGGAACTTACAGGATCAAATTTGGTAGGCGGACTCCGGCTTGCTCTGGGGATGCCCTTGTCTATATAGCGTGGTCTCCTTATTAATGGTGGCACAAACACGCTCGGAAAGTTACCCAAGCATGATGGAGTCTAGAAAAAGGTTTTTAACGTTGCTAAGCCCGAATGTTGCGTCCAATTTTGTGTTTCTGGCCGTCTCAGGATCCAGGGGATGCCATGTTTGAAACTTTGTTCATACTCCCAGTCAGAAACTAGCAGGACTAAAACTTGCACATATGCTCAGGTACTAAAGGCGAGTGTCCTAACAGTGTTTGTTTTCAGGCACGAATCCCCTCCTCATGAATAATTGAAGTTAATGGAGGCATTTGATTGAACTAGCCGTCAAGTGTATCAACAAATAATTAACATTTTTATTTAAATTGCTAAATTTTCATTCCCTTTGGTATCTAATAGGAGATTCTTTTCACTATTTCCAGAATACTTTTTAGAGTTGGAGTCTACGATTATCATATGACTGGATGCTTAGTAATAGTCCAGATGTCTGTATAAATTGTGAAAACAAAAATAATTCAATATTGCAGATGCTCCAAGAAAACTGGATATCATCAGTATCTTGCCGTTAATTAAGATGAGAACATATCTTGTTCAGTTGCTGTTTAATTTACAGACCAAATCTCAAGTGTTGGTGTGATTTAGTTTCTTGTTTCTGTACATCTACGAAATGATGTTACTTGGGGAGAGCTCTTCTTTTGAGTACTTAACGAACATCAACTTCAGTTGTAAAATATAATAGTGCTATAGAGTTTCTGGTAGTTCTCTAGATCATAACTCTTCTACATTTTTATTTTGATAAGCGAAGCTAAGAATGAAGTTTTGGGATTAAGAAACCATGAAACTAATTGAATGTTCCCTCATTGCGGTATTTTCACTCAGTATTCTGAAAGTATTTTCTTTCTTACGGTATTCACTGGTTTAGAGTTGAAGTACTTTAAATGATTTGTGTGTGTGTGTGTGTGTTAGTTTAACCTTGATTTTTTAACATTTAATTGTGATTAGATGAAGTGTTTTTTTCTCCTATCACGCGAAACCTTAAACTAACAATCTACGAATTTCTTGAAAATTAGCACGCGTAATCAGCTAAAAGCATTCGAGAGAATAATTTGTACTGAAGCATGTCAAATACGTTAAATATATATATGTTGTTTGCGTGGTTTTTCATTAATTATTTCCAGAGCCTGCGAAACCATCGCTTTTCTCATTTTTCTTTTAAGAATAGTAAAATAAAAGTATCTTGGAATGCAAGAGCGTAACACAAAAAGTATCAGTTTTCATTTTTGGTAGCATGGAATTAATCAGAAGATAAAAACATGTTGTCATATTAGTATTATTAAAACGTATTAAAGCAAACAATTATTTTAAAAATAAACTTATAAAAGAAAGTTCCAAAAAATGCCTTTTTATCAGAGCATTACAACTAGGTTATTAAATCAATGCTATAAAAGACAATATATTAAGACAGTAAACATTTTAACAAGAGAAATATAAAATTAGAGCTCTAGAAACCTTCTGTAATCAAATTAGGAGATTGTAACTTATAGAAAAGTACTATTATAATTACTATTGTATTTATAAATTCTTAAATTTATTCATTAAAATTAAGTACAAGTTTTGTTCCCAAAATATAAGTAAATGCCTGAAATTATCAACACGTACTTTTTTAATACATGATATCCGAAGTCCA